AGCCCATCACCATCAGTCCTGTCCTACTGATGCTGCCGTTGTGCTTTATTTCCAGCCATCAGCTGCCCGGGGCTGGACCCCCCCAGCAGAGGCCAGCTGAGCTGCTCTCATGCCTACGGTAACTTCACCTACAACTCCACATGCACCTTCTCCTGCGAGGAGGGGTTTGTTCGGATGGGAGCAGAGGTGCTCTGGTGCGCAGCCACAGGGAACTGGACCAGGCACCCCCCTGTCTGTGCAGGTATAATGGGACCCCCTGCTCCTTTAGCCCTAGGGGCAGTGGTCCAGCTTCCTGCAGCACATCTTCAATGGAGGGAGGGGGCACCCCAGAAGCTCAGATGCTGCAAAGCCCTTCTGACAACTTTCTAACCCGTGGGTCTGTGGATCTGTTTCAGAGGACGGTGCCCCCTTCTTAAAGCAAGTCCTGGCTTACAGCAGCGGCACAGCTCTGGGGCTGGCTGGCGTCGTGCTTTCAGGGACACTCATTGCCATCCTTGCCAAGCGGCTGAGTGACAGAGGTACAGAAACACCTCCTGCAGCCCAGTGCTGGAGGGGGTGGTCTCAGACCAGGGGGTTATGGAGTTTTAAGGGAGGGTGGGATGATTAGAGGAGTTTAAGTGTGACAGCCTCAGCCCATGTGTTTTATTTGCTGTCAGTTGCTTTGGTCTGGCAGCACCTCTTTGGCAGTTTGTCCCGCTGGAAGTGTCAGCAGCCAAGTTTGGAGGGCAGAGCCAGAAAAACAACTTAATTGTAAAGGGGAAGAACACAATTGTTTCAGCTTCCTCTCCCCACTCCAGCCCATGCTTGTCAAACTTGGTTCCAACTTCAGATGCTGCTGCTGCAGCTTCTCAAGTCCTTCACTAAACAGAACTGGTTATTTCTTTCCTGTGCTCTATCTGCGCTACCCACGTGGACATTTTGACACTGTTACCAGACGAGAAGAAGAAGCTCCTGAACCCCACCAGGTGAGAGCCAAGCTCTTCAAGAGGGGTGGCTCTGCCCATGGCAGCCCTGCAGTCACCCTGCTGTCACCCAGATCTGCCTGTGCGAGGCTGCTTTTACACGCCAGCCTCCTCAGGGCTGGTGCTAACCCTAGCCCTTCATGCTCTTGCCCCTTCCCCCAAGGTGACACCCTTGTGACTTTTTCCCAGTGACCTCGGATCGCCGGGCACCTTCACGAACGCAGCGTATGATGCCAACCTGTAAGGTGAGCGCCGAGGAGATGCTTGCAGCACCCTGTGCTCCCACAGGATGCTGGAAACCTTTGCCCCCACTGCTGCTGCTGCTGGGAGTCACGCGTGGAAAATCCTCCTGCCTGGGGTGCTCCCACGGGGGGACACTCCGCTGGATGGGGAAAGGGGGGACCGGCTGCAACTCTGTGCCACCCCGAGGTGGCTCCCGTCTTCCCTGCCACTTGTGCTTGTGGCCATGGGCTTGTGTGAGCAGGGTCTGAATAAACACCTGTGTCCAACGAGGTGCCTGCGTGTGCTGGGGGCAGGGGCAACTGGTCCTGGGTGGGGCTCGGGGAGCAGAGCCCCCAGTGTTGCCATAAGGGTGGCAGAACAATTGTTAAGGGTTTAAGAGGGGTAAACCGGTCTTTCAAAGAATGCTGCTTCAAGGATGGGAGAAGACAATGAAGAAATTTTCCAGCCAGTTAGTAGAAAAAAACCAACAAAATAGTGTGTGCTTATAAAATAGCAAGTAGACCAGCTTTTAGGAAGATTTAATGAGCTGCTCATCCTTGGGGGTGTGTGGAACCGGACCTAAGCAGGCATCTTCTAGTCAAAATCCTCACTATGCAGATCAGAAGGTACCAAAACATCAAATACTGTTTATGAAAGGCGGAAAGCAAGCCAAAATTCAATGTGGCAGGGGGTGGTGACGACCACTGCCTCACCACTGCCTCGATTCAGAGCGCCGACAGCTCGCACACGCGCCAGTTTATGTGAGAAGTGAAGCTAATTTTAACGTACTTTGCCACCAGCGAATGCAATAGTTACCACTACCCGGTAATTGCAGAGTTAGTGGCGAATTAGGCGTGTTCACGTGTTCACACGAACAGCACGCCGCGGCTTTCCGACGCGCTCCGTTGGTTCCATCGAGCAC